TTTGGTAAAAACTAAGATATTTATTGGCAACGCTGCTCAGCACCCCTAAGTATGTAATAATAATCTAATAATGAATAAAATTATAAAATTTAAAAAAAAGATGATCTAATCCGACCCGCCTAAAAAAGACCAAATCAAACTTGCAATAAAAATTAATCACAATAATTTTACCCAGTATGGGATAATAGGTGGGTTGATTTTATCAGGTTGTCCGGTTTTAATGACTACTTTGGACATATGTGTGGCTACGATTTAATAAAAGAATACTTTTTGATAAATGTGTAATACCTTCATCGGGTAATAGATATTTCGAATGAAAATATCTTTTTAAAAAAAGTTTCGCAGTTATCTAAAGATTGAAAATTTACATTCGGTGAGTCGAGATGTTCATTGTATTTAATTGTATCACAAAAAAGAATGCCTCGCTGGAATGTGATGAATAATATTGGGGTTAGGGTATTTTTTTGGTCCTATTTATTTGGTTATTTAAGAAGAATTTATTTTGATATTTATAATAATTATAGAGGAAGTGGGTCTTTTCAACACTGCCAATGGATTAACATCAATAGATGTTATGTGCATAGAACAAGATAAGATTCTCTCATCTTAGGATACGAAGGTCATGAATTTTGATTTTATCAGAATTACATTTTGAGCTGTAACATTGTTGGATTGAAAGACAAAAGATATTCGTGGTTGATGGATTTACAAATTTTTTTTTAAATCTAAATTCGATTATAAAAAATATAACATTAATTACAAAAAAAATATATCTAGAATAATAACAAAACTTATTATTTAAGTTAAATCAGTATGATTTGAAGATCCATGTATAGAAATCAGAGACCTTCACGGGCTGGATTTTCTAGGCGCTGGGTTAGAAAAAATTTTAAGTTGGCTTGGGGCTTAAATATTTTTCATTAAATTAATCATATTTATAATAGTTGCTAACTTAAAAAAAAATATTACAATACTCAGTATTGCTAACATAATGATCCCCTAAATATACTGAAATATTGTCGATTTTCATTAAATACAATAAATGAAATTTTTAGATATGGGCTTGAGAAAATTTTTTGAAACTATTATGGACTTAGGCCGGGCTTGGGAATTTTTATATAAAAAATAAACCTAGCTAGGCCTGGGCAAAATTTACGGCGAGCCTGGGCTAGGTCTGATCAAAAAATCAAGGTCTATAAAGGTCTCTAATAGAAATACAGTTGGATTAGCAAATTTCGATGAATATTCTTTGCCAGGTAAACCCCTTCCTTTGGGTCGCCTGTGATTCCTTATAGTTTTTCCCTGTTATAAAAAGTTTATGGCTTGTCCAAATGAACCATAGGTGTTTGATACAACCTTAATTAACAGTAACTTGTTTAAATGGATGTATTTATTAGTTTTAAGTTTTCTGTTATTGTGATGGAGTTAGTAGAATAAGATTTGCAAAATCTAAGCGTGTTAATTCCAAGCAAGGGGTATACATTGGTTTCATAGGATTACGGTTATCATGGAACTGGTTTGGCAGAGTTGTAGCTTACCATACCATATGAAAAGAGACAATATGTGTAGGATGGTGGTTTATTATTAAACTCTATTTTTTAAAAACAATAAAACAAAACTAGTTAAGATAAATTATTTCCTATTTTTTGGTCACAGGAGTAGATAAAGAAGTATGTAATTTAAAAAAATAGGTTTAACCTTTATTTTAATATTTGTCTTCGCCCGACCTTCATTGATACCGAGAAATTTGATAAAATACAGGATTTGATTTGGTATGGAATTAAAGATTTAGTCAGAATTTTATTTTTAAAAACATTAATTTAATATTAAAATGACTTACATTAAAAAAAAATTTTTTGACTTTAGACGCTACCCTATATTGGCTCGTTTCAATTTTAAACAGTTTAATAAAAAAATTAATTAAGGTAAGTTGCATATTCAAAAAAACATTTTTAAAAAAATTAAAAAATTTTTGCCGAAACCCGGGATTGAACCAGGGACCTTTAGATCTTCAGTCTAACGCTCTCCCAACTGAGCTATTTCGGCAAGTTGTAATTTAGTGTAAAATTTGTGTTTATATTTCATTAATATAATTGATACAAAATTAATATTCGAATTTCTTAATATTATTTAAAATATGGTAACTAATTACTTCCAAAAAATAAGTTTGTTATTAATTATTTTATTATCGATATGATGCTGAAATGGTTATGCTTATATGTACAGTATCAATATGATTTGTTGTAAAACATATCAATATGATGTTGAAATGGTTATGCATACAGTATCAATATGATTTGTTGTAAAACACTTTTATATTTTATATAAATTATCAATATGATGTTGAAATGGTATGTTATAAGTACAGTATCAATATGATTTGTTGTAAAACATTTTTGTATTTTATATAAACTATCAATATGATGTTGAAATGGTTATGCTTATATGTACAGTATCAATATGAGTTGTAAAACATTTTTGTATTTTATATAAATTATCAATATGATGTTGAAATGAAATGGTTATGCTTAAATGTACAGTATCAAATCAATATGATTTGTTGTAAAACATTTTTTTTATATTTGTAACAACTTAAAATATTGCTTAACTTGCTGTAATTATTTTATTTTAAATGTTATTTATGTTTTTTTACAATAATTAGCAAATCAAACAATTTTATAAATAAGTTATAAATATATAGAAATGTTTTGCAAAAAATCAAACACACACTGTAAACAATTTTTGAATTGCCTAAAAATATGCTCTTCTCACTGCAACTATAAAAAGAATTTTTTAATGCTACAAAAATTAATGTGCATATACCTCAAATTTACCCTCATTAAATTTTTTTGTTAATATTATGTTTTGGGAGAGATACAAAATATTGGAAAAAAGAAAGCAAAAATCAAATCATCCATGGCATAGATTCATATTTTGAACTTAATCAAAATTCCTAATTGCAAAAAAAATTATACCCTAAATTAAAAAATAACGCCCTGGTTGGGGCTCGAACCCAAGACCGTTAGGTTAAAAGCCTAACGCTCTACCGACTGAGCTACCAGGGCTTGTAGAATTTGGCTAATAAATTATTTTTATATCTTACTTTTTATTTTTTATCGAAATATAATTAATAAATTCATATGTAAACAGGGTTGCCAGATATTTTTCACTCGAAAACGTGAATTTTTCTTTTATAGGCCCATATAATACCCCCCCCCCCCCCAATTTGCGTTCAGCTTATTGATATAGGATACTTATACTTAATGTTATATGCAACAAGATTTTTAATCTGAATCTATATTGAATTTATAATTAATAGTAGTAACTTTTTAAAATTCATCAAATGCGGGAATCTTCTAATGACAGGGCTAAGATTAAGATATTTCCCTATATTATCTATAATATCATAGCCTTATTTCTATATATTCTATATTTTCTACAAACATCTTTGATTCATTTTTGAAAAGCTAAGATATCTTTTGATTGTAGTTATAATAAAGTGCTAACGTTAGGGACAATGACTAAATATGTGTCTAAAATTAAATATTGTCATCTTTTTTAAATTGCAAATTGGTATACTGGGAGAATTATTCAATGAATGGAAAGATATAGTATTATTGATAAATGATTATACTGATATTTTATTTAATCATATGTATTGTTACTAGGCTCTCACTGTGAGAGTCTCACAATGAATTAAAATTTAATGAGATTTCATAAATAGAGTAATGTGGAAAGTCATAATCGACTTAGATGAAATGGAAACTAATATATAATATTCTTATTTCATTCTATATTATTGATGTGGTAATTATATGAATTCAAAATTGATAAGATTACAAAATTTATATCTCCTTTTATAATTATAATTTTACTACTCACTACTTTACCTTCTTCCAAAATTCATATTAATTATTAAAAAAATATAAATGTTTCTATTTATCCTTCAATTAAAAATAATCTTAATCTTTTTTAATAAATATTCTTGATTTTCCTCATATTAAACTAACTACATATTAATAAATATTCTATGAATACATCAATTTTTTTTCTTTTTTAAAATTACTACTTATAATCACTTGCTTTTATTAATTCTTTAATTTAATTATAACCACTATTTACTTTATATATTTATTCAATTAACCTTGCTTATTCCTAATATTTTTTCTTAAAATTTATTTATTTCACTCCATATTTATTTTTGCCACCACACTTTTCTTTTACAAATTATTACAATTTCTAAAAAATGTTCTATTTTATTTACTTTTACTCTTTTTATTTATTTTTACATATTTAATTTTCCCAAGACATATTTTTCCATTATCAGAATTTTTGTTTATTTATTAGTTTATACCTTAATGTATTTTCTTTTGTTCACCACTTTTTATTTATTCTTATTTTTAATTTCTCTATCTTATTATATATTTACTTGAATCATTAAAGCTTAAACTAAAGAATTTAAAATCAGCTACCACCCACCCTTAAAGTAATTAAATTATATTGTAGTTCTCGGGTATAGGCTTTTGTTTTGCCCAACTCTTCTGTTATAAACCTATAGACATTTAAACAACACTTCTCGGACTGTTTTGGTACGTGCGGCTAGCCCTCAACGTGTGAAGGGCTCCTCATTTTCACCCCTAAATTAAATCCAGTTTGATGAATTTGAGGAAAATCTAGCGTAGTTCTGACGTATCACGATATTAAATATTGATCAATCAATATAATTGGTTGGTTGGACTATTAACAAATACTACATTTTTTTAAATATCAAACATTATTAGTTAAAAACTTTATAATTGTTTTTAAAATATTTTGAAAAAATTTAAGCGTAAAAAACTGATTGAATAAAAAATTTGGTATGAAATCGTGACATCTGCAACCTTGCATATAGCTCATTTTCAAACTATTTTTTATTATGCTACCAAACACATTAATACAAAATGATTTTATTTATTTCACACTTAAAAAAGTATTCATTTACAATTATTCATTTTGTGCAATTAATACAAATAATCATTACATAATATAATGAAATAAATATACTATCTTAAATCTTCACATTGATATCTTCATTTTCGATTTTATTCCCATTTGAATAAGGTTTGACAGTCAAAACTTCTGCAGTTAATATATTTTCTAGGTTTGCGGGTTTCTTTTTAGGATATGGAGGTGGCCCTATCAACTTTTCAATATCTTCATACGCAAGGGTTTCATGAGCTAGAAGGGCTTCTGATAACTATATGCAATAAATTGTTAAATACTGATATTTATTTGCCGTGGACAGTAAAAGGTTATGATTTTAAAAATTTAAGCCAGGCTTAAGAATTTATAGAAATTACATGGCCAAATTAAAACAAATTTAAATTGCATGAATGATTTAGCCGATTTTTTCAAAGAGCCAAATAATTATTATCTAAGTCTCAAAAATATGACAAAGAGGTTTGGCTTTTTTTTAGTAAAATTTTGAGGCTTATCTTTTTGGGCCAAATCTTGATTTAGCAGTTTTTTAACATTTCACTCTGAGTCTGACCAACCTAAGACATTATCTTGTCGGCCTTTGATTTTAAAATTATAATTCAAACTGGAACTCAATAAAATATATTTGTTTTTCTAATGTTTAAAAAATTTTCTTTTCAAGAATAACATTTATATCATACTTTCTCAATAGTCCAATAAAAAGAATTTGAGATCACTAAAATAAATTTTAGATTGGATTGCTATATTATTATGTTTAACAACCAGGGTTGGGAATAATTATTCACACACTGTAAAGGTTGGCAGGGAGTAAGGAAGATAAGACAAAAAATTTTTATTAAATAAATATATTTAAAAAATATTTAACTACAATTTAACTAAAAAACTATAATAAATTTATCCTTTATATATACAAAAAATCTATTAAACAATTAAATGAAACTATTAAGTAAAGTTAATATAAATGGTCTTAATTTAATGAATGTAAGATACAAAAATTTGCGCTAAATAATAACCATTATAATAAAATAATAATCCATGTTCAACATTCCACCCTCTACAGGAACCCCGCCTAGGTTCTCTTTAGACGTAAATCTTTAGTGTTCAAGGAGTTTCCCATCTATTTCGATCATAAAATCTGTCATAGTTTCGTCTTGGTAAATGATAGTTATTTTGGTTGTAAAATCTTATCTTGCCTTGCTCCCTCCAAATCTTTAAAAAAATGGTTTAGTATGTGATTCGATTTTGTCATCCTTCTGTTAATTATTATCATAATTTGTTATTGAATAATTTTAGAATATATGTATTATTGAATAAGAATCGCCGAATAATCGAAATAGATGGAAAACTCCTTGAACATGAAAGATTTACGTTTAAAGAGAACCTAGGCGGGGTTTCTGTAGAGGGTGGAATGTTGAACATGGATTATTATTTTATTATAATGGTTATTATTTAGCGTAAATTTTTGTATCTTATATTCATTAAATTAACACCATTTATATTAACTTTACTTAATAGTTTTATTTAATTGTTTAATAGATTTTTTGTATAAAGGATAAATTTATTATAGTTTTTTATTAAGTAAAGTTAATATAAATGGTGTTAATTTAATGAATGTAAGATACAAAAATTTGCACTAAATAATAACCATTATAATAAAATAATATTCCATGTTCAACACACACAAATAGCAAATAATTACTAATTATTACCAATTCCATTCCTTTTTTTAAATGGTAATTACTAATTACATGTAATTGTGATTTAATTACAAAATTAAAGCAGGATTTGATAAAAAATCACAAAAAATAACGAGAAACTTTAATTAACAGCATATAATATAATTATAATAATATATATTTCTTTATTACTTTTTTATCTTTGAAAAATATAAAGATTTTACTCGTTCAATATCAGAGACCCTACCCTAAAGCCCTGGTCTAGACCGTATTTTATTTATTTTTTTAAATACCCGAATCGATCAAATTTTTTTATAAAAAAAAATACCCGGGCTGGGCCATATTAAATCGCCATTATTATCCGTAAAATTTTTTTAAAAAACCCGGGCCAGGTCTGGAAATATAAAACCCAAGACATGCTGGGCTGAAATTTTTTTTTTATAAAAAAAATATCTGAGCCAAGCTTATTGACAAATTAAAATTATCTTTATCTGAATGAAAGATCGTATAAAAGGATTAGGAGTTATCGTCTGAGGAATTTATTATTTTATGTTATGGCCAAATTGTTTGCAATTATTACGCGTTTCACATAAAACTTAATTATAAATGTATTAGTATTTTTAATAAATTATAACTAATTCCTTATTACATGCCTGAAAAAAATAATTAATAATAATTAATCCCTTTTTTTTAAAGTGGAATTAATTACAGTTACTAAATACAAATGTTGAATTGTAATTATAGTAATTACATATGTAATTAATTACTGATCAACTTTGTTTGCAATAATCATCAGTCTATTTATATAACATTCATAATACTAAAGTTTTCAAAAAAACGAATCATGAAGATAATCGAATAATTTAGCATTCGCATTAGGCCATTTCCAGGCAAAGCGTTTTTTTCTTAGCGGTTTGCTAGACATGTCTCCAGCAATTTTTAAATTTATCTGTTTTTATTAACAATTAAATGGCGTCTGAGGGAATAGTCTAGATAACCGGTTTGAATAAAATTTTCTGTCTGGAAATGGCCGCTAAGGCGACTTTCAAAATGATCTATTTCGATAAATTGTTTATTTTAATTTATTTTCCATATTATTATAAATTTCAGAGACCTGCAGAGGTCATTTGCACGGCCAGGTCCGGATTCTTTTTTAAAAATTTTAAAGCCCGGGTATTTAAAAAAACGGGCCGGACCTGTAGGTCTCTGATAAATTTCTCAAAAATTATTTTTGTGTTGAGAAATTATCAAATAAATGTATATTTATTCTTACGATCTTTATACACATCATCATAACCCCTCTTTTCCTCCTAATCCAAAAGTTTAAGTATGATCCTCTTTACAGTAAGCGCGATATGACTCTACATAAAGATGCCAAATCGCAAATACATAACTATTTTTAAAGCGATATCTTATCGCACTATTTTTGCGCCTACTAATTGCAGCCTTACTACTAGATTAAATCTCGTAATTGAATTAATAAACAAAGAGCATAAAATATTCATTCATAATCATGTACTTTAAACCTTGTTAACTTTGTCTATATTTTCTTTCAACACCTTCTCTGTATGATTAAATGCTTTGACCAATAAATTTCTAGCTTCCTATTTAAATTATTTAACATATAAAAATAAATTTAAACAATGAAATTCAAAATATTTGTTTTATTTCTGATTTAATCGCGTGATTGTTATAGAGTTCTAACTGCGCATTTGGTCGAAATTAAGTTACAATGAAAATCCCCCTATAACAATGCTCTATACCTAGCCAAAATTTCCCATGTGCCCGCCCCTAAGGTAAGGGAGGAGAAAGGTAAATTTTTTGTGGACTTTGGCCAATTGGCGACGCAGATTATAACGTTGCATAAACAATAATTTATTTGGGATATAGTTAATCGAAATAAAATATTGATTTGTTAGTTCAGGTGGTGTCGTGTCCAGATATTATTTATATATATATATTTAAGGGTGATATTTTATTTAAAATTAAGCGTCGGGTGTGTATTAAGTAATCACATAACATGTAGCCATATAAATTTTGAGAAACGTATGCTGCCAAATGTTATAAGATTCTAAAAATCTGTATATGCTGAATTTATGAAATTATATCTAACGTTATAATAAATTCATAACCAAATTAATTTTACCATTAATCCCTTTCCTATAAATTTTACAAAACTATGCCTTACCCTTGCTCATTGAATAGAATAAAAAATCATTAAATACTTATATATTTTTTTTTGTAGGCATTAATTGCGTTACTCGGCGTCTTCACAAAAAAAATATTTTGGCGTTAATATGACTAGACTCCTCTCCCAATTTTTAATTTGGCCCCACTCCTTAACAGATATATGGCAGTAAATAACTCTTAGACCTTACCCCCCCCCCCCAATCATATATATAGTGGTGTTACTATTTTTACTATAATAAAACGATATTTTTCTTTTAGAAAACTTCGATGATTTTTTAATTATTGGCCTCTAAAAAGTGTTGGTCTTGTTGACGGTAATTAATTAAGCTACTATAGTAAAACCAGATAGCACGGCGTTATTTTTTAAAAGTCGCTCTCCAAAAGAAAAACTCATTGCTGTGAAATGTTAAAAAAGAATCCTATAAGAATCATACGACAATAAAAAAAAATAAATATAAACGAAATCAAAATCTAATCCATATGTCCAAAACGGTTTTTTTCAACTTATAATTTTCATTAAGCTCTGACATATTTTCAATGCAATTGATAGACAGTTGAATCAAAAATAGATTAGAAGAGATAATGAGAAGTAAAGAGCTAAATAGTTTTGGCCATATGGTAAATGAGAGTTTAAATAAAAATTAAACTTGATCGATAATATTCCCTAATCTTTTACTATAGGGTTTAGGAGCGAACTCGGATGTCTCATAATCATCGGAAAAAGATTCGAAGGACAAAGAGCCAACTTTTTCATTCATCCCAAATTTTTTTATCGTCGAGTAAGCTAATTTGCTAGCCCGTTTTAAATCATTTTCCCCACCTTAGTTTAAATTTATATATATTTTTTAAAATACAATTTATCCCTAGTTCAATAATGTGAGGACCCTGCATTCAAAGTTAGAGCGAATTTGCGGCAGAATGCAGGGTTAAGATCTGCAAAGTTAGGCCCGGCCCGTACATGGCCCGAAGCCCTTGGGCCTAATTTTATTTAAAATAAACACGTTCGGGCCGGGCCTAATATTTTTAAAAAAAATTCGAACCGGGTCGGGTCGGACCTTGGAAATTTTTTTAAAATGTATCTAAATTTATCAATTTTATATTGAATTTTTTTATGTAAAATATAAATATTTGATTTTATATATTGAAACTAAACGACATATAACATATGTCTTTTATTTTGAGTAATTATAAAAATTAATTTCTATATTTAAATAAATTCGGGCTGGGCCGGGTGTGTAAATTTTTTTAAAAAATATTTCGGGTTCGGGCCGGCAAATTTTTTAAAAAAATTTTGGGTTCGGGCCGGGCCGGTAAAACTTTTTTAAAAAAATTTCGGGCCGGACTTGAAAATTAGGCCCGATGCAGATCACTAGTTAATCTATCGTTTGCTTATTCTCTTTAGCTGAGATTTGCCTGATGAAAAGAAAGAAATGACAAAAATTAAATTTAGTTATAGGAAGGTAAAATTTTAGTGGCTTTCCAATGTTAAATTCGATTGCGCGTGGATTAATTATTTTGTAAATCGGAGTGAAATCACTAACCCAAACGGATATTTTCATCTAACTAGACATTAAGAATTAAGCAAATCAATTATTACAAACTTCCTCGATATATTAGCTTATAATTTAAGCCCAGATCACTTGCCCGAGTACAAAAATTAATAGCCAAAAAATATTATCTCAACCTAAAGATTTTCAGAAGAATAGCTCAACCATGAGAGAAACCTAAAAATTTTTGGCAAAAACTTTAAGATTGAGCCCGATTAGCTGATTTCAACACTAAGTGGGTACAAGACTCATCGTGCATTCACAGTTAGCGCTAATTATTATGAATGCATAATCCCTCATTCACATTAATGCAAATTAGAGGCCGAAATACAAATATAGAGCATATTTATACAATTAGCTACCAATTCGCGCTAACTATGAACGAAGGATTAAAGGAAGTTTTATGGCGGTCAATTTAAAAAAGAAGTAATTATTATATACAAAAAGTATTAATACTGTTAGTGATCTTGCCGAGTATCAAATTCTCAGCTACCTTTCCGGCAAGATTCTGGCAAATTTTTTCAAATATTTCGTTTTCGGTGTAAAGAGTTTTGTCGGAAAATGTAAAAGGGGAGGATAGGTGAGTGTAACCGGATATGGCATCTTTACTGATTCGAGGTACTATCGAAACCTTAAAATGTGCGAATAGAATAGTAATGGCTTATTTATATATAGATTATAAATACTTGTATCTTAGATATAAGTAACTTTTGTATCATATCTAAGATGTACTCTATATTTTTTTTAAAGAAAGAAGAAAATTGATACCCTCTTTTAAAATTAATTGGTAGCGAAATACATTTAAAAATTTCCGTGAAATAGGTTCTAACTAGTAATTCATATATAATATTTATGTTTAATATGTTGCGTGATTCCCTTCAGAAGGTTTATTTATTGCCAAATATGCCAAAATTAGAAAATTTTTGAAAAATAGTGTAATTTTTCAAGTTTTTATTGTTACTCTTTTTTAAAAAAAGGTGGATATATTAAAAAACAAATAAAGCGAAATTCTTTAATTATAATTATTTTTTTTAAAAAATCAACAGTTGTCGTATGTAAGATGTATAAAAGTTTATATAATAAATTAAGAAACTGGGGTTCAAAATTTTAAGTTTAAAAACGGCCAACTCAATATTTTATCTGCGAAAAATATTTACCACAAGCCTGAAGAGTTTTTCTCAGAGTTGGCACAAATGTTTGGACATAGATTATGCGAAATCTCAAGGCTTAGACAATATTTTTCTGGCCAATAGAGCCCTTCAAAAATGCTAGGCAGAGGTGTCCAAAACTCAGATATGTTGGCTTATACTTTCGATCAAATTAATTTTTTACCTTTAAAAATGACCCTAAGAGTTTAATCTAAAATTGAGTGGTTTATAATCCGTGGATCTTTGTAAATATTTAAATTTGTTTTCAATTCACTTTCCATTGAAAACGATTCACATGTCGGTAAGCCTTTCATGGGTCATAGTAAACCTTAAATAAGTTTCTTTTAAAATAATATTTTAAACTTGAAAAGCTTACTTCTTTTTAACAAGGAGCGAAATATATTTGCGTAAGAAAAAAAATTAACAGAAAATAATATTTTTTCATTTACTTTTTTAACTTAAAATTTTTTTTAACAAAAAATGCATGAGGGAATAATTGGAATTAAAAAAGGAATTGGTAAGGTATTGAGTATAAGGGATGACTGCTTGATGAGAGGGCATGGGAATTGTAATACACAGTAAGTTGAGAGAAAGGACCTTGTTAAGTCCTGCAGTCTAAACATCGAGGCACGAACGGAATGATAAAAGAAGCGTCCCGGTGCTTCGGGCAAATGCCAATAAGGCTCAAGCCCTGTGCCGGCGCGGGTTTTATTTTTTATGTGCTTTAAAAAAAAGTATGAAGTCGGAATTAAACCTTAAACCCTCGGATCCGGGTTAAATTTAGAAATCGGAACCCACTTTATAATTTTTTTAAGAACCAGAACAGGAAACCATTTAGGCTTTAAGTTATGATCTAACACTCTTCGATTTAAAATTAGTAATTAAAAATTAATATTTATTTTTAATAAAAAATAATATTCAATTCGTATATAATAATTTTCTACATTTTTACTTATTTTTTTTAAAAAATATTTATCTACTCCCCCCACAAAACTTAATTTTCTTACCAGAGTTTGAAAGAAAAAATCTTTCATAAATTCTTTGAAGATTTTTTTTAAGCCCACTTTAAAGATCTCAAATTATTTTTTGAAAAATTTGCATAAACATTGTAAAAGATTTTTTTCCAAGAAAATAATTGGGATTTTAGGTTAAATTTGATCAAAAATTTTGTTTGAGCAATATCTAAAAAAATTATTTGAAATATCAAATTCCATGTATTTGTCTTTCTTAATAATAATTTAGTTTTCATTAGCTTTCATTAGCTTTCTTTGCTTTTTACAAAAAATTCTTTATTTCATCTTTTTAAGGTAAAAAGAAAAAACCTTTAAAACAGCTGGCAAACTAGCGGAAAGCCACACAAAAAGGGCGTGCCCAGTCTCGTGAACAGCCAGAGATCGTTTTTCTTCGTTGGTTATGGTAGAGGTTTTTTTAGAAGACCCGCTAATTATTCGATCCAAAGCGTACTGCAAATGATAACCAGATACCGTTTTAGCCCCCAAACGGGCCGCAAGTAACGCGGCTTCATTGCAAACGTTCGAAATATCGGCGCCTTGATATTTATAGAAGATTAAAAACATAAATATATTTTATTTTATCTTATATGTATAATGATAATATTGAGTAGTGGTTTTAAACGGTTTGATTTTTTAAAAAAGCCTGGGAATTTTGCTTATAGAGCATAAAGTTTGGACATTTAACGAGATCTCGAGACTCGCGTAATATTATTTTGGCAAAAATCTTAATTTAAAATCGGGCTAAATAGAGCCGTTTAATATCATTAATATTGAGTGCATTGTCAATGTAATGTGTTATTTATTAATGTTTTTTAGAAATTCGTGTTCTTTTTTGAGTCATCAATCTCTTATAAAATTGATAGTGCATTAGGAAGGATGATTTTCATATTAACTGATTAGTTGGATGAATACTCAAATAATATATATTATATATTTTTTTAAAAGAAATACCCTCAACTTTAATTTTAAAAATAAAATAATTGCCGTCAATTGTGAGGAAAAAAAAATCGTGGATTAATTTGGCAATCTCTACCAGAGACCTGCAGGCCCGGCTCTAAGCCAAAGTACTTGGGCCGGGCTGAATTTTTTTAAATGAGGGCTGGGTTGAGCCGTTCAAATGGTACCTCTGCAGGTCTCTCATCTCTCTACCAAGTGGTTTAAATATGGAAAATTTATATAACGAAAGAATGATTTGGAAAAAGAAGAGTTTTTTTTGGATGACTTGATATCGTTCATATTTTTAAAAATTATACTTCCTCCAAATATATAATAATAATTGGTGTAATTTTTAATATCTGGAAAACAACATAAATGACCTTAAATCGATTACGAGTTATACCCAATAGAATGATGTATGTAAGTTTACTTTGCAAAAAATAAGAGTTTAAAAATAAGATGTTTTTCAATATCTTTTATTTACATCCAAAAAATTTGTTAGTAAAATATTTATTTAATGCGCTGGTAGTAAAAAAAAAGATAATTGATTAAATAATAATGATATACGTACCACTCATTCCAGGGGTCATGGCGGCTAAAACGGGGGCGAATACGTCAGGACTTTTGCCGCTATCTAGTTTGAGGCCTTTCATGGCCAATTTGAAAATATCTACCCGCTCGGAATAGGATGGAAAGTCTACCAATATGTGCCTATCGAATCGACCGGGCCTTAAAAGAGCCCTGTCTAAGATGTCGGCTCGGTTTGTCGAGGCTAATACTATGACGTTTTGTTGGGTGTTTATGCCTTATAAAAGAGATACATTTTTGAAAGAAATGAAGAAAGGATAATCTAATAAGTAAGAAAAAAATTGAGGGCGATGACATTAATACCAACCTAGACTAACAATTCATTCACTAAAATGCATTAAGAAATGTACCCATTGAAAAACATTTAGACGAAATTTGAAAGACATTTAAATAGCGAGCCAATCACTAAGGCTGACTTAATGTATAAACACTTTTAAGTCAGTCTATGTTTGAATTAATGTCATTGTGGAAGGCATAGGCGTGCCCATTTTCTTGTAGGAGGGGGCGGCACTATCAGTGCCATAAATTTTATTTGGGAGGAAGGTCTTTATCCATTTAGTAAGTTGGCTAACGCCTATAGTTGAAGGTGTATTAGCTGAGTTAAGTCAAAGAAATCAAATTTAATTTCTACTTATTTTTGTATTATTTTGCAATCAAAATACCGAGAAGAAAAACATAAAAAAGAGAAATGTGGTATCAAACGATTTGAAAAGGGTGTCTATTATGATCATGATACAAAAAATTCTAGATTAAACTAAATTATTTTTCCAAAACAATTTATCCCTCGTTAATTTAATTGAAAGATAACCATGATTTTCAACTTTTAGATAATATTATTATAAAATGGTAATATCGGGTTTAAACCATCCATCTCGACTAGCAACTGATTGAGGGTCTGTTCTTCCTCTCCGTTCGAAGATCCATATCCCGAACCTCCACCTTCGGTTGCGGAACGCTTGCGACCGACGGCGTCGATCTCGTCTATATAGACTATGCAGGGGGCTCGTTTGCGAGCCTCTTTAAATAGATCACGAACGCGGGCCGCACCTAGTCCACCTTTATTATTCATTTGAATAAATTAAAAATGTTGTCTAAAGTCGCTTAGACGGAGTCCTTGATGTACTTAAATCCCCTAAGCTTACCTATTTTTATTTTGTAACTTTTAACAATGATGGCAATCATTTTAGGACTTATAAATCTAGAATGGTAGTGATTGGCGTCAATGTTAAAAGGTACAAAATAATAGTAAGGAGTTAGAAATTTAGTATATCGAAAACTCCAATATATAATATCGTCACCCGAGAATTCGAGCATTCCATATCCTTTATTTTGTCAAAAAATTTTTTTTAACATAAATCTATTTATTTACTTAAAAAAATCTGATATATTTATAAAATAAGTAAATCATACCGTTGAAAATAATAGAAACTTAATTTAGAGATAAAATGAACTAATTTTCAGGCAAATATATTGCTATATTTGGTTTTCATAGTTGTTATTATAACCTATCATTTCAACGAACTCGGGTCCAGCCATAACTAGGAAAGGTACATCAGCCTCAGTAGCCGTAGCCTTGGCTAAAAGTGTTTTACCGCAACCCGGGGGCCCCAATAGCAAGGCTCCCTTAGGAACTTTGGCTCCTAATTCCTGCGGAGTGATTTTATATATTATATAAAATGGAAAATAAAGTGAGTAGTTTTTTAACAAAAAATTTCGCGAAAAATAAAATCCTAATTCTTAATTATGACTGAAAACTAATTTTGAATAGAGTAACTAAAAAATAATAATATATATATTAAAAATTAATTTCCAATTTCATTCACGTGGTATTACAGTACAGAATCAATTACCCTGGGTTTTAAATATATTAAATAATGTTCCCCCAAATCATTCAATTCATTGGGGGAAAATAATTATGGGAATTACGGTAAGCTAATATAACAATATTTATAAATAAATATTTACAAACTTGAAATCTCTTAGGATTTTTCAGGTAATCTACGAATTCCATGATCTCTAATTTAGCTTCTTGCAATCCTGCCACGTCACTAAACTTGATACCTCCGCCGCCTACCAATGGATCGACCAATTTAAATTTAGCTTTAGTTAATTGACTCTTAAATAATGTATTTTTAAATAAAAACACATTATAGAAAAAAATAACAGAAAGATATATTTTTTTTAAATCAAGTTATGACCAGATAAATGACAGAAAATATTTTTTCTTAAATCAAGTATTATTAACCAGAAAAAAAGAAAAAAAAGTTTTCTTAATAAATGACGAAAGAAAATATATAAAATGGCAATATAATTTGATAAAACACTTAAATTTTTTTAAAAAATAATCTATCTTTATCCTGATTTTAGAAGTTTATTAACTAAAATAAGCTATTACAATTCAAGATAACTTTAAAATAGGTGTATAGACGTGGCCAGTATGATCAATATTTTAGTTATGATATCCCTTTAGTATCATGCAAAATGCTTATGATTCGATATTTTATCAATATGATCCTTTTTTTTTGGTACATAATATTGAAAATCTTTGATACATCTCACGACTAGGTTATTATCTTTTAAAATTTGTGACCTACCTTATCAGAAAATTTTGATATAAAAAGCACACACTATCTATAAAAAAGTTCTATACTTTTTTGTAGAAAGTATAGGCAAGCCATCTCCCTTTTTTGAAATCAAGACTGCTGAAAGTGTAAATCTTTGGGTTTTTATTGATATATTTCTAGGAAAATCTAAATCTCATAACATAAGTGGTATATTACATATTTTTCAATATCAAGTCAATGCCATCACTAATGATAATGCCATTTATTGATTAGTAACTTGCTACTTATACAATACTTAGCAAAGAATCTTAAAGTCATGTGACTTACCCCAAACTAAAAGTGATATGAGTGTGTAAACCTATAAAAAATATATTTATGTATATTTTCTATATTAAATTTATAAACGTAATTGAAGGTTAGATATTCTTAAATATCCTAAATGATCTAACATCTGAAAAAAAGTGTGTGGCAAACTTACCATGGAAATCTAGAAAAGTTTCAAGAAAATAACTCCATTGTTGTGGAACATGGGGTTACGAATCAGTCTCAGCTTTTTAAATATAGAAATGTAGCACTAAGATGTGATTATACAACTAATGATTGAATTCATGGATTTCCTCGAGAATAAATAGGTCAGCAGATGAGAAAGCAACACATATAATTGAACAGTCTGACTTCATTTTTATAGATTGTATAAAATACAATAGTAAAATTATTTTATTATATCCAACATCCATTTTATGTAAAATCTTGCTCAACAAACTTACAGACGTCTCTGGCATAGCTGAAAAAGATAAAATATTACCTTATTGAAATTGTATTGATGAATTATGTAGCTACAAAAAAATAATATCTTTTTGTTTGCCATTTATATATTTTCCTTTTTCAATGACGGAATCGTAATTTTTAAAGCACTTTAATGTATGATCTCCTAAAGTATTAGTAATCATTTAAATAGAAATGCTATTAGTTAGTAAAATTATTTCTTAACTTTGTTATTTTAAAAAAATTGAAATTCACCACTTTTAAAAAAAACCATTTTGGGGGGTTTCCTAAATTTCTGAAAAACTAATTATCTCGTATAATTCATAGTTTAAGTTAATCCATAATAATTTTCCTGAGATTTCGGGAGATATGGTACAAACGAAATTTAATCAATAACCACAACTATCGATGGTTTATTATGACCTCTTTCTTTCTTTCCTTCCTTTTTATAAATAACAAAATTAAAATATTGTTTAATAATATCGAGAAAAGATATTATAATTAAATTAATAATTGTAATATATATTTTTTTTACCAAAAAATCGCTTCCCAAGGGTTGTTTAAAGCGAAAGTTTTTGCGGAAAGAAGAAAGCAAGGCTCCAGCAAGTACAACGATAAGTAGTAAAGTGAACCATCCGCTATATAACCATTTTGTAATGTAATTATGTTAAGAAGTAAAGTATTATGCTCACGATACTGCCATAGAACTTAATTAGATGTTAGACCGAAATTTATAAAAAAATATTCAATAGGTTTCTGAGGCAGTTTTTATTAGGGCCCCATCTATCCACAATTTTTTCATCGATTCCAATATTTGCCCACATTTATTTCAAACGGCACCGATGCCGTTATTTATATTGATTTTTCCCCATTATTTTTGAATAGAATATAAGATAATGGAATAATAATCCTTTTAATCAGAACATTATTGACTTATCGTAACTCTTAAAAATTAAAAAAAGTCTCTGGCTGTGTCCTAGGTAGGCTTAATTTGGATACTTTGCTTTTTAGTATAGACTAAAAAGTATTTTAACAAGCACCCTATTTTAGTTTGTCTTAAGTATTTGTGGCAATTGCTATTTTTCGTATTTTATATTCTCGTTTTTTTGTTTTTTTTTATTTATTTTACTTTTTGGGTATTTAGCCGATATTAATATTTAATATTAAGCCAACCTAGAACACGGCCTCGAAGTTTTAAAATTCTAAAAATATGTCTATAAATTTGTAGTTTAAGGTTTTTATTTATAAGATATATTTTAAATAATGTATTCGCTTATTAAGTTGTAGCTCTTTAGAGAATAATTACACATATAGTTCGAATATTATTTTTTTAATGATGATCAGAATTTTCACTTATCCATTTTATCCTTAATACAAATAAGTATAAATTTATATGCTATTCATATTAAATTTTAAATTTTCTGCATAACAAACTATTTATCTTTATTTGAATAAAAAGTAAAAAACAAATTAAATATCAATTAATAACATAATATAGTAATGAAATATAAAATAATTAAAATTATAATAGGATAATTTTTTTTATAGAAATAAGAGTCTCAAGTTTATGTGATAATAAGTGTCTCCTATGAGTGATCTATCTATATCTAGTGTTGTTAAGTGGCTCGATTTGAGCCGATTTTTAAAAACGGCTAACTCATTGTTTTATACAGAAAAATCACAAATTTTGGTCATAGATAGCCCATATGATTGGAATTCTATTAGCGAAATCTCGAGGCTTGGACGATATTTTTCTGGCTAAAATATTGAGTTAGCCGTTTTAAAAAATGGACTCAAATCAAGCCGTTAAACAAAGCCATCTTTACCACCGGCTGTGCGGAAAACTGATTCTGACGGGACCTTCGTTGGAAGAGATGCCAAATACTTAGGTGCAAGGTTTGCCGAAATTGGAAACCTTTAAGCATTAACTAGCCAATAACCAAGAAAATCGATCTGAGATAAAATATTGATTTCTTTATTAATTAATCAAATTTAAATTCGCATGATTTTTATTTACTTTAAGTTTTTTTTTAATAAAAAAAACAATAGAATATACAATAGACAAAATAAAAATACACAAAAATTTTGGGTAATTTTCTTTTATATTTCTTTTATCAATATACATTACTCCTTCTATAGTTAAAAAATATATATATTCAAAAAAACATTAAACATTTATATTTAATAAACACACTTTTTTTATAGGAGTTATGAAGATTTATTACGAGAAAGAAAGGGAAATTAGTTCAAAAATGAAAATATGCATAAAATCGATAATCAGTTTTAAAAAATCGGCTAATCCGATAATCCGATATCCTTTTAAAAGTCCAATATCGGCGCTGATTCGATACCGATATTTAATATCGGCACAACCCTAGTTTTTATGTAAATACAGTTGTATGGTAAATCGCAATTTATTAATTTAACTGGTATAATTATGGCTTATATTGAAATGGAATTATATATTTATCTCTAGGACTGTATCGATATTAATTATGGAATAGGGGCATATATTAAACGTTTTTTTTTAAATTATCGGATCTTGTCAATATTTATTAAAAAATTGATCCGATTTTTCTAAAAATTTAATATTATTTTTAAGTTATATTATCTGCAACAAGGATTTAAACAAAAATCAATATAAATATCGGTATCGGTTTTGTGGTAATATCTGAAAATGTCGGATTGGTGAAAATTTTAAGATCTTCACTGCCCTATTTATTTCCTTTCTATTGCCTTGACCCACCATTTCTTCTTATAGGTATGGTGCAATATTTGCCAGGACAGATTAAATATTTAAATTGATTTATAATGATTTTATCTAAATATATTTTTAAAAAAGAGTTATAAGAATGACTTTTTTTCGGCCTTCTTTGTTCAAAAGTGAGTTAAAATTATTAGCTTTAGTTCATTTTATTTATTTTAACATTTTTTTAAAAATAATCTAAGGCCATTTCATCAATATTTTTTTTATAAAACCTTTCTTCATTGTGTTCATAGACAACAGGAATACTATTTTCAGGTTTGATCCCCATTTGATTTTCCACTTTTCTTAGCTTCTCTTCGAATTTATCAATTTCAGGGATGGCCATGTAATAAGTCAAAATATTTGTCTTTGAAACGATAATCGCATAATATTTTAGGTGGTATAAAACAAATGTTTTTAAAAAAATATATATAATATTGCCTTATATTAATTAGGAGCTAAGAAAATATGAATTGGGTAAATTAATTATTTGTATTTGATTCAAATAATCGTGGTATTGCTATTCATATAAAAAATAAAAACAGAATATTATAGAAACAATAAGCCAACTTCATGTTAATAAATATATTAAAACTTAATTACTAAAAAAAATTAATAACGATTTATAGCAATCTTAAGAAGAAAAACGTTTTTTTTAAAACCCATACATTTATCCTTATTGCATTGATTATTACAGATTTAAAAAATAAACCTTTTTCCCATTAATCACAGCTCCAGGGTACAAGTGTATGATGGCTGTTTCATGCTCGGGTTTAATAGTTATTTCTTGTACTTCTCCTTTGGCCAACATGATACTAACAAAATCATTCCAAGATATGATCAGACTTTTTGGACTAACATCTGGATTAAAATTGTGGGGGTAGTGGTGGGCCTTTGTATTTGAGTTATTTTTGTCAAATGGATAATCCACATCTGATTATTTTAAGAAAATTTTAATTATTTTGGTTAAATACTTAAAAGATAGCATAATATTTAATTTATTTAAATATTAAATCTGATCTTTTAATTTTTTCAAAAAAATATATAAATGTTAATTATTTTGATAAAAAAAACTAATAATAAAGAAAAATACATAATAATTATTTAAATTATTAAATAAAAAATATTGAAAATAAAATTTTGGAGTATTTGACCACATTTGACTGATTAATATACTTTTTATCAATTGATATATTACCAGTCAATTAATGAGCTTGCCAATCTTGTTAAAAATTATAAAAAATATATAATAAGTTCTTAATTTGGGAATCATTATCACTCAAGTGATGCATAATTCATTTCTAAACAATAGAATAAATATAATACATTATGTATTTTGATATTCCTCATTGAGTAAAACCACAGTATTTTGTGGCTACTCTAAAAGCCTACAATTTTATAGGATAAAATTAACCTTTATCAAGATGACTAGGAGCTCTAAATCCATTTGTTATAAAAGAAAGCAAAAATAAGGCTACGTAAGCTCCTAAAAACATTAATAATGCTTGAGAAAGAGGTGAATCCACAAATGAAGATTCTTTATCTTTATCCTTCTCATTATTCAAATTTTTGTTTTGCTTCTCTTTGTCATCTTCCTCTTTCTCATTATAAGAATTTTTGTTTTGTTTCTCTTTGACATTTTTTTCTTCATCATTAGGGACTTGTGGTGAACTACCTTTTTTATAGATAATAATGAATTTTTCTATAATTTATTACTTTGATTTGACTTTGAGGCATTTTCATGAGACTTTTTGTCTTGATAAAAATAAATTCTATTAAGAAGTGTCAATGATATTGGTATAATGAATTTTGAAGGGATTGCATTTAGTTTTAAATGTTTTAACACTTCAAGGTCAAAACACAATTTATTTTTAGTTAAATATATGCTCCTTGGAATTAAATAATTTCTCAAACATTTAGATTTCCTTTGATACAAATTATTCAATATTTGAATGTATTTCTTGAAATTTTTCTACACATTAATATAAATATTATTTCATTGCTTTTAACTTACGCTTGCAGATGAATTAACCGAGTACATAAGAGGTAATTTTTACTTTTTTTTTCGTAATCATATGTTTTTTTTGGAAAATGATGTTTTATATGTTAGGTTAAAAAACTGTTCAGTATTAATCTCAAGGTATTATAATATGAATTTAATTAAGAAAATTTTTTACACTGGAAAAATTTATCTAAACAAAATAACCCACAAAATTTGAATCTTTTCCTTCATTTAAGATTTTATTGAATAGATTTTGTTTTTCTAATGCTTGGTTAAATGTTAGTTTTATTAAAATTTCAATTTTTTCCTTCACTTAAGATTTTGTTGAATAGATTTTGTTTTTTTAATGCTTAATGTTAGTTTTATTAAAATATGAATTATATGGGAATAAGATCCACAAATAATTAGGAAAAAAAATAAAATTATTTTAATCTACCCAAATAATATTATATCCCTTACGTTTTGGGATCTGTGACTTGAGATCATGCAAACTCTAGAAATATTTTTGCCTCAATTGCCACATTATTTTTTATATTTATGCGATAGTTATGGTTATAAATTATAAAATATGAAATTCAAAAATGAAACAGTTTTTGTTATGGAGACAGAAATTTACTACTGAGATGGTCATAATTCCTTTTTTATGGTGATTAGTTTTAAATGACTTGATTTGAGCTACTTTTAAAAATAGCTAACTTAATAAATTTTAGCAAAAAAATATTGATTAAGTTTCAAAATCTGGCTACAAATTTAAGCCATCTACAAGAAAATCTTTAGGCTCGCATAATATCGGCTAGCCGTTCAACAACTGTTAACGACAAGTGAGTTAAAAATTATTTTTGGATTTTATTTTCCAAATAAAAAATAACGCTAATATTCCTATAAAGTAATATCAATCAAGGTTGTAGACAGGAATTTTGCCTAAGAACATAAAAATTTTTAATTTTTAAAGACAACTTCAAAATTAATAAATTAATTCTCAACTAATACTAACAATTATTATACCTCTAAATTATAAATATATATATATGTATATCTATATTTTCTGAATCCTCAATTTATATTTAATAATTAATTTCAGAATCCCCAATTTATATTTAATAATTAATTTCAGAATCCCTAATTTCTAGTTAATATGTATATAATTTAGTAGATACATTGTATTGTATTCATTTTAAAAATATAAAATTATAATTATAGCATCGTAAATTTTATTAAACATTTTGTAATAATATATATTATCTAGATTTGTTAAAATGCCCGATTAAATTTTTAACCAAAATATTATTATGTTTGTACCTCTTTTGCCAAATATCGGGCCCTTTATAAGACTAAAATCCTAATCGCAACGTTATTAAAAATCGACACAAATCGACCCGTTTAGCAATACCACTTGAGGCCTGGTATTATAATCTAAACATTATTCCCCAGGTAGATAATATAATTATGTAAAATATCAAGATCAATATTTAAATTTTTAACAAAATATACAAAGTGAAGTTTTAGTTTCACTTTCAGAATAAGAGATATTAGAATTTAAATAAACTTTTATTATATGTAGATCATTACCAAAAACTCTTTTTTTATAATTATCTAATAAAAAGAAAAATTTGCGTAAACATAATTGAGTTTTTCCATTAAATTGAATATCTAAAAAAGTTTTTAGTTTAATTTTTTATGCAAAAAATAAAAAGTTGTTACTTAGCTAATTTTTTGAACGATAAAAAGTAACGCGTTAAACAGAGGCGTCGCCAGCCCACAATCTCAGGGGGCTCAAATAAAAATATTTTTATGAGGGGCTTCGCCTATATTATACTTTTTTAAAATTTGTTAACTCTAAACAATTATTCTGATTTTCATATTTTGTCATTTATTATAATATGCATACAAAATAAACTGGCATATAAAAAATCACATAATGCAATAATATAATTCTTAGCAACTTACATTGACAAAAGGTTATCAAACTAATATAATTCTCTGTAACCATTTTAGACAATGTTTTATAGAATGGACTAATAAGGAAAAATTTATAGGCCTTAACCAAATCAGCAATTTTTGTAGGAGAGAGTATAAGCGACCAATCAAAATCATAAAACTATATGGTGGTTAGAGCTTCCTCTTAGGTGACATTATGGAAGCTAGATAAGTAATCGAGAAAATTATTGAGAGAAAAGATTATCTTCCATTTTAAATGATATATAAACGACTACACAGTTGATCATTATTGTTTATCTAAAATAAGCAATTATATGCTCTCAGCCGTTACAGTAATAATCTTAAATTACATAGGAACACAAATAATAGATGCGGTTAATTTGCAGTAATAGCCATGACACTCACGATGTAAACTAATATCAGAATTTATATGTTGGATAAATTGGTAAAATAAAAACACTAAAAATCGTTGGAAGAAATAATTATGCAAATATATTGAAGCCTGGAGTTATTTACACGGTAATGCCATATTAGAAATGAAACATTTTCTAACTATAAAATAAGGACCAGTATTTAATTACATTTATTTATCACATTCATCTACTAAGTTATTTTACCAATTAATTTCGATTTCAAGTTTTCCATGGCGTAATTTACCTATTATTTTCAAATTTTAGTGGCGTAATATTTATTTAAATTTCTAGTCAAACAATAATTATCTCTGAAACTCCTTGTCCAACAGGGAGAAAGAAATTGCAAGCTTGCCCAACGAGATCGAGTCTCCACCATCAAGAAGTAACAGCTTTTATGGAGTTAGAAGAGCCGATTATTAATGCTATTACGAAATATCACAATGGCTTGAAAGAAATATTTCCTCAGAAGCAAGAAAATTATTGCAATACATATTCCAAATTTTTTTTCTCTTTAGAATGTATTATTTAATTATATTATACAACTATATTATGTAATACTTTTCAAAAACATAACATTGACTTGATTAAGAAGATGAGAATAGCGTATTTTATATGTTATTGTTGAGTCAAAAGTAGAGCTATACGTGTTTAATATTTGCCCCACTCGACTTGCAGCAAGCAAGCTCATCGTCAAAACATTAATATGGGATCAGTAGAAGAGTATTATAAAACAAATGTCCCCTCTACCAAACTTTTTATAATGGTGATAGAAAAAAAATATAAATATTTGTTAGATTTTTATCTGAAGATGTTAAAATATCTTATAATTCCTTATAGCTGAATAACTATGATTAAAAGATTAACTATGGTTGATACAATCCCAAAAAATGCTATGGATGCTTTGCATTATTTCAAACACATTTTAGATTATACTCCCAATGTATTAAAATGGCTATATATATAATAGCAGATCTTTAGTAAACTAATGAGAGAACATTCTCTTTTTTAAGAAGAATAACAGAGCCTTGCAGAGGTACCATTGGCAGGACAAGGCCCAGATTTTTAAGAAATTTTTTCCGGCCCGGGTTTTTTTTATAAAAAATTTCAGGCCCGGCCAGGCTTTTTTGAAAATAAAATTTTCAGGCCCGGCCAGAATTTTTTTAAACTAAACTATATATATTTTTGATTTTTATAGCTAATAATGGCGATTTCAAATATTTGGTTTTATATATACAGCTCGGCCCGGATATTTTTTCTAAAAAAATTTTCAAGCCCAACCCGGGTGTTTTTTTTAAAAAAAATTACGGGCCCTGCCCAGGTATATTTAAAAAAATTAAAATACGGTCCGGCTCGGGGGCCGGGCCAAGTCTGTGAAAAACACACCTATGAAATACAACATCTGAAAGTTGATTGAATGATTTGGATCTTTTGAATATTCATAGGCATTTAACGCCAAGCAAGGGTAGATAATTGAAAAATTAGCTCAAAACTTACAAAATACAATTATTCCTAAGAAACTTTTTGTGTATTAATTTATATTTCCAACATTTAAATTTTTTATACTTTATATATTTTAAAAGCTCAAAAAATTCAAATTTCAATTTTAGGTCATTTAAGTGATTCATATCGTGGGTTATATTCACTTTATATTTTATAATTCACATTTATTTTATAGTTTCTCAATGCCGGTTTATATATATAATTTTTTTAATTCACATTAGTTTAAAATTGTGTATTAGAAAAGTTATTAGTCCTAATAAATTTATGCTTAGTATTTTTAATTAACAATAATATTACTTAAAAAATTTTATTATCCCCTCCCCCCCCCCCCCCAACCTAAATTCCTGCGTACGCGCCTGATCATAAGTAAAATATAATTATAAAATTATTGATAAAATTAAATTATAAATTAAATAATTAAAACTAATGCACAAAACAATGGAATATTATGTGTGGTAGATTTACAGTACATCTAAATTTTATATATAATCGTATGACAATTAAATAATTTTTACCAATAATGAATTATATATTTTGCAGAAGACTATAAAATATTGATAAGACATCAGAAAATATATTTTAAAGAATGTAAATGAAAAAAAATTCTATATTTCAGTAGCGTCAACATCTAATAAGGTACATCCATTATGAGATGAATAATATGATGATTAATTTTAAATATTATTTTTTTAAAAATAGATGGCGTTAAAGAGTTGAATGCAATTATTGCTTATATTTATTATCAAAAACAAAACATTGATTAGTAAAGTTTGTTAAAATATAAACTGTATTGTAATATATTCTATAACTGTCAAATATGTCTTTAAAAGTGGAATTTTACTTTATATTTTGTAACCAATTCTATATAATAGAGATATATCAACAATATGACTATTTTTTATAGAAAAATTTCTTATACTTGTTTCAAATAATTACCATTCTTTTGTATTAATATATATATGTGTGTAATTTATTATAATTTATATAAATTAACAAAAAATTTTATATTTGTTTCAGGCTTATTTTTTGATATAATCTCTTACAACATATATATTTTAAATAAAGATAATATTTTTTTATATTTAAATTAACCTCCAATATTGTAAAAATGACTAAATATAGACTAAGAAAACCCGACCCAAGGCTTTTTTAATCCCCCTCCTTCCTTAGGAAAACC